CCGTAAGATTTCCAGGAAGAGCATATGCGTTTGTGGTAAGCAAGTCCATGTCCTTAGCACGAGCTGGAGAGTCGAAATTATAGAACGGATGCATCATTTGAACTTCACCAGCGTATGCTTCCATACGGCGTGCAGTCTCCCCTAATAAGATATTAGATCGCGTTAGATCATAAGTGATGGGGAACTTGCTTGATTTGATATATCCCCATACCATAGGAGCCATGTCTCGCTTATCATTCATGAATCCAGCGTCAAAGTCGGGTGCTTCGTAAGGATCGGGAGAGTTAATAAAAGTCTCGCCGCGACTGAAAGGGTACTCCAAGAAATGGAACATTGTGAAGAAGTTTCCGGGAGGCATCAGCATGTGGTCGCCGAACCAACTGGTAATTGTGTGTTAAAAATTGAGATTAGAGTTTGGGGTTACGACTTATGTCGAGGAAAAAATGCTCGCTTAGCCACTGTCAACATGTCTCTTAAGCGAGGACATGGGGATGATCCTAAACCACCATTGAAGAAGTGAGGGAGTCGAGAGGCATAATGGGAAGCAAAAGGTGCAAAAAAAGCTCTGTAAAATGAAGTCAACTGGACATGTACATACCCGGCAATCACACTATAGTGCATAACTGGCTTATCGGGCTTATCCTTGAAGTAGCTGTCCCAACCAGCGCGGAATCCCTTCGTTGGCCAGGTCTCCATCTCGGTGAGTTCCTCTTCGGTAGGACGCACCTTTACACCTGCGTCAATGCCGTTAGTTGCGAGAGGCCCTGTACCCTTGATATTCCATTCGTCGAAAACCTTCTTCTGAACCTCTGGTACGCCGCGCACGAAGTCGTCGAAGCTTTCGGTACCTATATAGTTCAGTATTGTATCTTGATATGTGTCAGAGGTCTCTTAAAACTTACCAGGCTTAGCGCGGTAGACAGAAAACGTCAGATAGTGGTCTTGGAAATTCAAACCAACACCCGGGAGGTCGACGATAGGCTTGACGCCGACCGCTTGAAGCTTCTTGGCATTTCCGATACCAGACCTTTGAAGAATCAGTGGCGAAGACAAGGTACCGCCAGATACGATGATCTGTTTGCGAGCACGGAAAGTGCGAGGCCCTTGCTGTTTGTAGGAACTTGTATTAGTACAGTTGGTGAAAGAGCTTCTTAATCTTACAGATGGGTGAAGAGGCTTGGTAGGGACAGTTCGAACTCCTACGGCTACGCCATTCTCCATTATAATCTTGTCCACTTTTGTATTGCATTGTAGGCTATACGCAATGGAGTTAGCAAATTTATGCTAAGAGGTGTCCCAGAAAGAGATAAGGTATGTCTTAAGACTACCCTGGAGGAAGAGAGCAGGCTTCCGCATTACGTACTGTAGGTTCTGGTGAACAGAACGAGTGCTGTGAATGTATGCATGTGCAGAGTCACTTCGACGTCCAGTCTATGCAATGATTAGCGAACAAAGATGATCAGCTGAGATAGGAAGTAGCTCACGTCTCTGTTGATCCACTTCAACCAGTGTTCAGCACCGTGGCCTGTAACGAGATCCTGAAGATCATCTGTAGTAGGAATACCTTGAGACTCTGCTGCTCTAAGGAAGTCCTGCATGACTGGATATGTGTAGTTCCCGAAAGAAACCTTGATTGGACCTTCAAAGCCGTGGATGTCCCTACAAAGTTGTCAGCAATACATACCGAGCGAGAAATTATGTTTATCTTACCGGTTGTTGCTGGCACGTTGATAAGTTTCATGCTTCCTCATGAGTGGGATCAATTCTTTGGTTGACCAGCCCTTGGCTTGGAAATCATCGTAATCTGATGCCGATGCTCTAGTGTACATCATGAAATTGATAGAAGATCCTCCGCCTAGAATATGAGCGCAAGGGACGACAGCCTTACGGCCACCGAGCCATTCCGACGGTCGAGAATAGTAAAATGAGGCCGTTTTGCTGTCCAACTTCATGTTACGTGGGTCTAGAGAAGTTAGTGAGTCAAAGGGAAGATGGATATTGAAGCTCACATATTCCGGGACGGAAGACCCATGGGTTGTTGAGGTTTGACTCTCCTCCTTCAATCAGGAGGACTTGAAGATTGTGGTCGAGATTGGCGAGGCTAATCTTACTTAGTAGTTGATACATAGTGCTTTAGGAGCTGAGTAACAAACCGACCAGCAACAACGCATCCACAAGAACCCCCGCCACACACAATAATGTCAACCTCGTCTGGGACCGTCATGATGAACACAGTACGCGAGATATGTGAAAGAGGTTGTATCTTGTGATTTTTGCTATTCTGTCCAAGTTCTATGACAATGAATAATCAATGCTTAGAATTTGTAGAAATGCTGGAGGTCTCCTTTTTGAATTCTCCAACTTCCCCTCAACCCCGCACGGGAGGGATACTTATAAAAGTGGCTAGCACGACCTGCGTAAACTTTGACGCGGATTACGTCCGACAGTTTCTTTTGAGCGAGATCCAATTGGTCCTACCGCCGTCCCAACTCTTTGCTCGCATTGAGCAACAGACGCATACTGCTATTTTGACTCTACCAAAGGAGCTACCCCTCACTTAACAAGACTTGAAGTCTTGGATGAGATTCACGCGACCAGATTAACGTATGGGAACCTTGTCTATCTTGGTATGATCTCGGTGTAGTCGAGGAATCATGGTGATATCTCGGCCTTTAAAGTTCTGTTTGTATCCAAGTGAGACCCATCGAGACACATGCGTACAATAGCGGCATAAGGATCTAGTTTCTGCTTTCATCCTCACAAGCGACCCCGCAGCTAAGAATGATGTGGATCGCTTCTGTAGCCTGCTCAGGGGTTGGCAGATTCATCTTGATAGTCTAGATTGAACCAGAGTAAAATTATGATCTTGAGTAGAGCAACATGATTGTCAGTATTTGAGTGCTTATGTGGCTATGAATGTTCATGTCAGCTCAAATGTTTTGACAAGATAAGAATTAAGGTACTAAGAAATGGTTATCCTATCCGTATCACTAACCTTCCCGTGATTTCACCTCGTGTCACTATTCTTTCCGGATATGCCGCATTGCCTGGGCCTCCCAATGAGCATGCAAGCCCCACAGATCAGCAGCTGGTTGTACGCGTCAGATAAACCCACAGTAAGCTTCTTCTATCCGCCAAGTGTTGATACACGATAATGTAGGGATTCGAGGACTGTACATAAAGAGCAGAAGGCATCAGCTTCGATGTGCTTGGGATCTTCCCCAGCTTCCCCAGAGCGTGTCGTTGGTTGAAGGTGGAGAAAAGATTGACGTCGTCGCTTAGCGACTGCGGGGTTTTAGCTCCCGTGTACTTGGCGGGTCAAGTTCCCGCCAGTTGTTGCTATTTATCCTCAACGCGGGGGTCCTGCATAGCGTGGAGGCTATTCTTATGTGAATCGTGAGCGAATCGATGTTTGGAGTTTCTTATCAGCGTCGTGCTGAACAAGAGATCTGCATATTGTGTGCCAAAATGTTTCCGTGAGGAAGGGGTCTTCCATCTGATTGTTGTGATACATGGTCTCTATGGACGCGCTGCATATATGCGCATGCAAGAATGAGAGAGGCTTCCGGGTTGATGGAAATATCATTGGAGTTCTTTTACCAGGCGCAGTATACATTGTTGTAACTTTGAGCTGATAATCTCGAAGACCTCGCTAATAAAGCACCTTCGTGGCGCTGGGCGAGTAGCCCTAGACGAGCCAGGTAATATCAAGACAAAACATACGTATGTTGGTAAGTTACAAACCCGGCGGAACCGGTGTATTGTGGCAGTGGAGATCCAATGATTGATACTAGCCCCCAATTGGTAGCCGCTTTCAGTCATCACAGTCGAGCTTTCGGGCGAGCTGGGCGAGGTGAAAGTGGATTAGAACTTGGAGACGGTTTGTGGTCTACTAGCTTCCCTTGGGCATTTGGGCTAGCCACTTTTCAATAACTTGATGCAGGCGCTGTAATGATTGGCAGGCGATCTTCCAGAGGCCAACATATGACATGAAGAAGGGGTAGTTGACACTACTTATCGCAGGAAAAGCGTTCTTTGAGTGATTTCTTGCCTGACCATTCGGACGGCCTAGACAAGTAGGCATGCTATGTCCATCGCCGCCTGCAGTGGTAATGTGCTACGACTAGGAGAAGTATGGTCGTCCGGAAAGTTACAGTTTTCGTATCTATATATTCTCCATCGTCAGTTGCTTTGTCTTGTTACCCTTTCTAGGCCTCGCCAATAGAGAATGAAAACAGGTTTGGTCATCCTGCATTCGTTGAGTTAAGCATATAGAATTCAGCGTTCAGTTCAGTAAAGTAGACAATTCTCAGACAAGGTTATTAATAGGAAACAAAAGTAAGCTATAAGATTCCCGTGGCTATCTCGCAGTAAAAATGGGATACCTATAAATATGTATACTTAGGTAGCTAACAGATTTGATAACAATAAGTTCTATGCCTAATATTGTCTATTATAAGGATGTTGATTACGAAGTGCTTATAGTGTATTTTCTTCTTCCCAGGAAACAAGGAATTTAGATAGGAGGGTACGTGCGAAGCAGATATCTTGCCCCTGATGATCCTCTATAAATCATATCCAACGGAAGCGGACTCAATACATAGTTCAAGACCTGTAAATTTAGCATTCGATTCGACTGTTCTAAATGTGGATAAAAAGCTAAATATTCAGTAAACTTCCTCGTGCAGTTATTCATTGGCTAGACCTAACCCTTTTTCACCTCCGATGTATAATATCGGCTCTGGAGAGCATAGCAGAACAACGATCAGTAACATAACAGCCACTACACACTGTAAGTACTGATTGGTAGCTTATTGTCGTACTTGACTGGAATTTGTGCTATAGTAGTTGAATGGGTAGGATACTCAACAAATCGGCAACTACACGCACAGCCCCACCCCTGAACACCCCGCATCACCCGTAGATAGCGAGGCGAGGCTAGCAGTGACTTTGATTGTATGTTTTTGTACTTGAATAAATCGGAAGTAGTAGCAAGGCGAGCCTCTTTGGCACAGTGGTAATGCGTCTCACTCGTAACTGATTTGACGCCATGAGAAGATCCACGGTTCGATTCCGTGAAGAGGCATCTATTTTTGGTCTATGCTTTTGCTTCTAGCATAGCATTTTACATATCTACGAGAGAGATAAAGAGCTTAGAATAAATTCAATAGAGATATATGAGAGGCCTTACAAAGGTAGGTAGTGTTTTAGCGATATGAGTAATATATCAATAATCATAAAAGATTAGACATTCTTTTGTGCAAATCGCGGTTGACATTTAGCGAGGCTTTCGTTTCTTGCCTAAAGCCAGGTCGTTAAGATTTTTAAATCTAGAATTAGGAGATTAAGCTATTTTATTCGAGGCAGATTTTGAATAGATAAATATCAGAATAATGATATCGCAAGATATCCCTTTTTACTTATAGAAACATCATTATAAAGCTTCGTATTCTGACGGTAACCATTTTATCTCCTTAATATTTCCTTTGTAGATAGACACTTCCTGTAAGGTGCTTCATTTGTAGGCGCTTCCCTTGTAGATGCTTTCCTTGTATCAGCTGTCTTGATATAAGCTTCCTTTGTTGATATTCCTCTGCAGACAGTTTATCAAAACTTCAATAGTCTAACCTACCGGAAGTTTGAGACCGCAATTTTTGTCATTCTGCAAGAAAGTCCTCTCTAATACAAAGCAGCATATCTCCTATAGCGCTCTCCTTCCTGAATTAATTTCATGCTGAATTGCTGTGCTGATTGGGTACTAGAAGTGATCAGATCCTGTGCCAACCTCAACTGATCCCTGCCACTAAGCTTCTATCACAATGTCAATCCAGATTCCATGGCTTTCGCCATAATATCTCTAATACCAGATTCAAGAAGAAAACCTTCAAACCTATGCACACATGCCCTAATAAAATCCCCGGTTTTCCCTCAAGAAAAGCCGCAAAGGTATCCGAGGTCATCTTCGAGGCACCTGGGTGATGGATCTATTGTCGGGAGATTACAATTCGTATGCGGCATTCGAATGCGGACTTGAAAGTTCCTCGTACTAGACAAGCCAGAAAGAAGCGAGAATTAATGGGTTGGTAGACTTTATGAGGGTTACTTAATTAGTCTTGATCAATCCGGCTCAAAGTCGAACACATACCTCCGAAGTAGGAAAGAACACCAGAATTCCAGTACCCTGGGGATTACAACAGATCTATAGCGATTAAAACCTTGTCCAAGTTGGGAAGAGAAGGGAGCTGCTGCTCTAACGGTTCGGTAGCCCAGCCAGTCACATAATTACTTTTCCGCTCTGATGGACTGATATCAAGTGACCTGACCGCAAGCTGTGTCCATGCTCAGCAATACTTGGGTAATTAGCTGTGAATCAACGATATCCGACTCATGACTGTCATTCTTAGGCATATTGGCGTTATTGCCTATGTCCCCAATCATGTAACTGCCTGCTGGGATGCAGCCAAACGACTGTAAGTGGACTTTGAGTGTGCTTTCAAGGATATTCAGGACGGGAAACTCGTTAAACTCTTTGTGGAACTTTACACTGGTACCCAGTTGAAAACTTCGAACTACTCTGTATGTATGACAGCAAAACCTAGCTAATTGGGTCGGACCGAGCGACGCGGCTGTATCCCATTGAGATCCCGGAGGTCGAGGAGAATCATGCTTCCTAGTCCTAATGCTCAGCAAAGCGTAGGGGTACACGTTGTAGGAACAGAGAGCAAAGCAGCCGGGATCGACTCAGGAGATTCCCATATAGATGATTACGAGCTCATGATATCTCTCTTGTCTTCGTCCACCGCCAAGGCTCCACAGAGAAAGGTACTCACTATTTACCTAAACATCACAAGCCTATCCAAATTCGCTTTCAGTCTGTAAATTTCTTCGGCACCAAAAGAACCAGATTCTGCACCAAGCTAGAGTCTAATAGTGAGTTCACGCACGAGAAGCTTCAAAGAGCTTTGCGGATCGGAAAGACGTTCGAGAAGGAGCTTGTACGGAAGCCAAGCCGAATCCAAGAAGTACTGAACTGCGACATCTTAATGTGATTATACACTGATGCGTATGTCAACCCGCCATGTGGTAAAATTGATGAACATTCAACTATATCTTCTCAACCCGCTGAACTATATTACGCTATCCTACATAAAAAATTCCGATCGCTCCCTGTTCGAGCCTTGCAGTGTGCCCTTTTTCGACTGCATACTGTTTGTCATGTATATCGTATCGAACTGAACCAAGCTCACCATTATTGTCCCACCTAGATCAATTCATGACTCATAAATCATAGCTTCAATAAACATCATCACCAGGAAGAGATAAAACGCATAGGAAAAGGACCGAAACCTGGAATGCAGCAGACGAGTGCCAACATCAGCCCCCAGGACTTAAAAGTTCAATGATCGTGAAGCATCATAGGCCCTCCGCCGCCTCGGTCAAAACATTTATCAAACTTGCAGCCGCACCCCCGATACCTGCAGCGGTCATGTGTTCCTTCCATCGACTGTGACTGCCCTTTTGCACCGGAGGCGGCGGTCGATCTCTTTGGTGGCCCCGCTCACTCGATCTCGTATATGAATTTACAGATCTCGGAGTCGATGAATGGCGTTTCCTCTCCCTTTCTCTGTCACCTCCTCTTTCTCTCCGCTCATGTTCCTTCTCCCTTCTTTCACGATCATGGTCCCTTTCTCGATCACGTTCTCGATCTCGATCACGGCTTCTATCTCCGCTATATGCCTTTTCATTATACGAGGATGGGCCATTCCATCCATCCCGACTACCTTGACTCCGTGGGCTGGGCGGGAGAGGAGAGCCATATTGATTCGGGTATCCCGATATAGGGACGCATGCGTTACTACTAGCGTAACTCCTGGGAGCCTTTGATCTCCTTTTCTCCCCTGCATCCCGATCTCGAACATGGTCACCTGACTCGTCTGTATCGGAGTGTGATGAAGAGGATGGAGTGTCTCTTCCACTACGATTTGAATGGGAAAATGAAACACGTGGTGAAGTGGATAAGGATAAAGTGGGCAGTAATATCGGGACTGGAATGGGGAGGGTCCTTGGACGGGGAGGTCTGGGAGGTGCTTGATCGTAACTTGAAGGTCGAGGCATCGACTGTGTGCGTTGGTGTTGTTGATAACGTGCTTGTCTCAAGACATGAGATCGAGAGGCTAGTGATTCAATTTCAACACGACTGAGGACGCCGAGGATAGCTACGAAGTCCGGACGGCTGTTTGAGAGCGTTTAGTAAAGATCTGAAATCGATAACGAAATTTTGTAAGGAAGAATAAGCTTACGCTTCGAATCGCCTCCCGTCCTGGCTAAGCACTTCGAGAGAAACTAGTCGCCGGTTTATCTTTGTCCACTTCGCATCCGGACCTATCTCGTTTCCATGCGCATCAGGAGCCAATTTGATAGGGATGTTAGCTTTCGGGAATGTCACCAGGCTATCTAATGATGCCCTTGGACCCCCAGATTGGGAAGCAGGAACCAATGCACCAATCCCTGAGGGAGAAGAACCACATTCAATTGATTCCCTCTGCCGCTGTGCCATAAACCTTACTGTATCATCGTCACCAAGTGAGCCACGATTACTTCGAAAGCTGGATGGCGATTCAGGGCGGAGAGTGAGGACCTGGCTGGAGGCCAGTAGATCGGTTGTCCGGATCACAAGACCCGTCTCGGCATGTCTGGAAGGAGTCTCGCTATCAGTGTCAGACTCGGGACCGCTGTCGTTGTAGTACTTTATTTCCTGGTCTTGCTCGTCTGAGGACGTGACTATACGTGGAACTGGAGATGGGCGTCGCGGGCCGTTATCACTTGCTCTTCTGTCTCGGGAAGTGCGAGGATCCCTATTTAGATTAGTATGTCCAGCCATGAAACATTGCTTAGTTACTTACAATTTGCTCTGAAACCCTCTGTTCCAATCTCCTCTTCTAGTCTCAGGCTTCGGCCGCTCCATTTTGATCGTTTGAGGGAATTTCATATTCTCTTCTCGGACAACCATCTCTTTCGTGGTACTGTCGTCAGTCGCTGGCCCAAACGAGCTAAAGGAGGGCGGCGGATCAATAAAAGACCCTGTTCTAACAGCATCTAACCAATGCTCTGGATTAAGACCAGGGGCATCAGGAGGTGTATGTGAATTAGGCGAGATATCGTCCAGTAGTCCCTTCTGGTCGATTTCTCGTATGTATGCCCGGAGAACATCCTACAATACCACCATCAGCCAACAATTCGGGTCAGAGTACAAGAAGTACATACCTCGTGTTGCTGCAGAATATCACTGGAGAATCCTTCCAAGATCAGCTCTCTACGAAATTGTTTCCAGACCTCCCTATCGTCATCGTCATAATTAGTCAAAACACTGCCGTCCCGCCGCGGTGGTGCCATCCGTTTCGCAATGCCATCAACCTTATCCAAGATAGTATCCAGTTGACCTTCCTGATTATCTAACACTTGGATGATTTTGATAGACTGATTCAGCTGTAGGGTATCCAAGAACAAAGTCAGGCTCTTCTTGTGGCTTATGAGTTTCACTCGTATCACGCCAAGTGTGTCCATCTCATTACTGGTAAATCCGACTTTGTCCCATGGTATTCGTGAAATGCTCGGGGAAGATGCAGCGCTAGATATACGGCCATATGTCCGGAGAAGACCGTCGAGCTGACGAAGCGTGAGATCGCAATCTCCGATTATTGGGGCGAGTTGACAACCCCATATTGAGGGATCACGGTTCAGTGGTGATGCAGGAGCGTCAACTTCATGTTTCAGATGCCTGAGTACTGTATGGAGACCTAATCCCATTAGAGGTTGGTTTTACTAGTCGTAACAAAAATGTTTCTAGTAGCACAGAGTGTGATAAATGGGACTTTGCTCTGGGACATAAAAGAAGAGTAAACTGCGGAAATAGCCTGGCACATACCTCTTACTTCCCCACTAACCTCATCGTACTCTCCTCCTGCATCTCTGCATTTGCGATATAGCGCTTTGCAGAAGGTGACCACAATTACAATGTCTGAAGGCGATGCGCCGAAATTCATACTGGCTTGTCTTCTTCAACGTCCCGACAAGTGCGGCAGAGTT